CCCCCAGCCCCCCCCCCAGTTACCCCCCCCCCTCCTCCTGTATGTCCCCCGGCATCCTCCTCCCTGCACCCTGTCACCGCCTCCCCCCTCCACAGCCTCCTCCCCAGTTATCCCCCCCACTCCTCCTGTATGTCCCCCGGCATCCTCCTCCCTGCACCCTGTAACCTCCTGCTCCCCACAGCCTCCTCCCTGCACCCTGTCACCGCCTCCCCCCTCCACAGCCTCCTCCCCAGTTATCCCCCCCACTCCTCCTGTATGTCCCCCAGCATCGTCCTTCCTGCAGCCTGCAACCACCCCAGCATCCTCCTCCCTGTGCCCTGTAACCTTCTACTCCCCACATCCTCCTCCCTAGGTATCCCCCCCACTTCTCCTGTATGTCCCCCAGCATCCTCCTCCCTACACCCTGTCACCGCCTCCCCCCTCCACAGCCTCCTCCCCAGTTATCCCCCCCCACTCCTCCTGTATGTCCCCCAGCATCGTCCTTCCTGCAGCCTGCAACCACCCCAGCATCCTCCTCCCTGTGCCCTGTAACCTTCTACTCCCCACATCCTCCTCCCTAGGTATCCCCCCCACTTCTCCTGTATATCCCCTAGCATCGCCCTCCCTGCAGCCTACAACCATGCCAGCATCCTCCTCCCTGTACTCTGTTACCTCTTATCCCTCCAATATCCTCCTTCCTGCACCTTGTAACCTCCCCCTCACACAGCCTCCTCTCCAGGCATCCCCCCAGCACCTCTGTAACCTTCCCCACAGCATCCTCCTCCCTGCACCAATCTACCCCCCAACATCCTCCTTTCTTCACCTTGTAGCCACCTATCCCCTCTCCACTGCCTCCTCTCTGCACCCTTGCAACCACCTATCACCCAACATTTTCCTCTCTGCATCTCTATATGCTCCTTCCCCCACTTCCTCAGGCAGCCCCCGTATCCTCAGCATTCTCCTCTCCTGGTATCCCCCATGTCCTTTGTATCTTCCCCCCCATACCTTCCAGCATCTGCCTCTACAGACATCTCCTTGCACTCTTCAGCATTCAGTCTATAACACCTCTCTTGTTATAGATCCCTGTACTCTCTCCTGCTCCCCAGGATCCTTGTCCCCAGATCTCCTCCCCCCCCCACACACACTCCCTTTATCCTTTTTCCACACCCAATAGCTGCAACGCTCTTCTCCCCTGCTATCCCACTTTTCCCTTAGCCACCCCATACCCTACAGCATTCATATCCCCAGACATCTCCTTCACATCCCCTCCTTTCCCCAGTATCATCTCCCCTAAGGCCACCTCATGTCCTTTTTCCTCCAGCCGCCCTCTTCCATACTCTCCACCTTCCCCCAGACCTCTTTATGCACCAGATACCCTTCCTCTCACCTTCCTTCTCCCCACATCTCCTCTTTTCTCCAGCCCCCGCATGTCCTATATTTTCTCATATATCACCCCTTTTCCCAGACATCCCCCCAACATACCCCATGCCCTCCTCCCAGCCCCACGTTTCTATATCTTTCTTGCTCATCCTCTATATCTTTTGCCTTTCCCTAGCCTTCCCCATCTTCCATAACATCTTTCCTCTCCAGCCTGCCATATCCTTCCCCACCATCCTGATAAGCATCTTTCCCCAGCCATCTCCCCTAAGCCCACCCCATGTCCTCTTTCATCCAGCCACCCATCTTCTGTACACTGCACCTCCCCCCCACCCAAAGCCCACATCCTGTATATGCTCTTTTTCTCCCAGCCCTTCCCACATCTGCCAGTTTAAAAACCAGTTCCCCATGCAGACTAACTGCTTGCCACTCTGTGCTGCTGCCTCTGATAGTGGGAGGTATTGAGCTGGGAGGTGTGCTCGCAGTCGATAAGATTAACCAGTGTGTAAGACAAGGCTTATCAATTAATCATGTAGTTAACTATACGATGACATCCCTATCGATCATATCCTCATTCTCTTCAGCCTTTTGCTCTAATTCCAGGTCTTTTCCTTCCCACATTCTATATCATCCTCCTGAATATATGTCACAGCTCAGTTCCCCAACCTGGCACTTGGAGTGTAGATATGGGGGCCAACTAGCAGAATAAACTCTGTAAGAACCTTTCTCTAATTCCCAGACACAAACTTGTCCAGTTTCAGTTTCCCTGAAACCCAAAAGAAAACGATCAGTTTGCTGGTGTTAAAGATAGTGTAAAGATAGTGACTATCAAGCCATTGCGGAGAAACTAAATGATTTCTTTGCTTCAGTCTTCATGGCTGAGGACGTTGGGGAGATTCCTGAATCTGCACCGTCCTTTGTGGGTGATGAATCTGAGGAACTGTCCCAGATTGAAGTGTCATTAGAGGAGGTTTTGGAACAAATAGAAAAACTTAATGTTAACAAATCTCCAGGAACCAGATGGCATTCATCCAAGGGTTCTAAAAGAACTCAAATGGGAAATTGCTGAGCTATTATCTGTGGTTTGTAACCTATCCTTTAAATTGGCTTCCGTACCTAATGACTGGAAGGTAGCCAACGTGACACCAATATTTAAAAAGGGCTCTAGAGGCGATCCGGGCAATTACAGACCGGTAAGTCTAACTTCAGTACCGGGCAAATTAGTCAAAACAATAGTAAAGAATAAAATTGTGAAGCATGTAGAAGAACATAATTTGTTGGACAAAAGTCAACATGGTTTCTGTAAAGGGAAATCCTGTCTTACTAATCTATTAGAGTTCTTTGAAGGGGTTAACAAGCATGTGGACAAGGGGGATCCAGTAGATATAGTATACTTGGATTTTCAGAAAGCCTTTGACAAGGTCCCTCACCAAAGGCTCTTGTGTAAATTACATGGCCATGGGATAAGAAGGAAGGTCCTTTCTTGGATTGAGAACTGGTTAAAAGACAGGAAACAAAGGGTAGGAATAAATGGTAAATTTTCAGATTGGAGAGGGGTAACTAGTGGTGTCCCCCAAGGGTCAGTCCTGGGACCAATCCTTTTCAACTTATTCATAAATGATCTGGAGAAAGGGGTAAGCAGTGAGGTAGTAAAGTTTGCAGATGATACCACACTGTTTAGGATAGTCAAGACAGAAGCAGACTGTGAGGGACTCCAAGAAGATCTCACCAAACTGAGTGATTGGGCAACAAAACGGCAAATGAAATTTAATGTGGATAAGTGTAAAGTAATGCACATCGGGAAAAATAACCCCAACTACACGTACAGTATGATGGGGGCTAATTTGGCTACAACAAATCAGGAAAGAGATCTTGGAGTTATCGTGGACAGTTCTCTGAAAACTTCCACACAGAGTGCAGCAGCGGTCAAAAAGGCAAATAGGATGCTAGGAATTATTAGGAAAGGGATAGAAAATAAGACCCAGAATATCTTATTGCCCTTGTATAAAATTATGGTACGCCCACATCTTGAATATTGTGTACAGATGTGGTCTCCTCACCTCAAAAAAGATATTTTGGCCTTGGAAAGGGTTCAGAAAAGGGCAACTAAAATGATTAGGGGTTTGTAACGGGTCCCACATGATGAGAGGTTAAAGCGACTGGGACGTTTCAGTTTAGAAAGGAGGAGACTGAGGGGGGATATGATAGAGGTCTATAAAATCATGAGTGGTGTGGAGAGGGCTGATAAAGAAAAGTTATTTATTAATTCCCATAATAGAAGAACTAGAGGACACCAAATGAAATTAATGGGTAGCAGGTTTAAAACTAATAAAATAAAGTTCTTCTTCACACAGTGTGTAGTCAACCTGTGGAACTCCTTGCCAGAGGAGGCTGTGAAGGCTAGGACTATAATAGAGTTTAAAGAGAAGCTAGATAATTTCATGGAGGTTAGGTCCATAAAAGGCTATTAGCCAGGGGATAAAATGGTGTCCTTGGCCTCTGTTTCTCAGAGGCTGGAGAGGGATGGCAGGAGACAAATCGCTTGATCATTGTCTTCGGTCCACCCTCTCTGGGGTACCTGGTGCTGGCTTCTGTCGGTAGATAGGATACTGGGCTAGATGGACCTTTGGTCTGACCCAGTATGGCCGTTCTTATGTTCTTATGTAAATAAAAAAACATAAAATAAGCCCTTTTCCAGGGAAGAGGTCACTTGAACCCCTCTCCCTGATGCAAAACTCTCTCCCCTGCTCCGACCTTCATTTTGCTTGGAGTTGGAAAAACAAACAGAGGGAATCTGCAGAAAACAATGGGGTAACTTAGGCACATAGGTTTAAGACCACAAAAATCAACCAGTTAATTAAAACAAAAAGAAAACACTTTTGTTACCCAAACAATACTACTGTTGCAAGAATAGTAAATGACTGGGTGTTAAAAGCTATGGCGTGAAATAGACTCAGGGAGAATCCATGTGCTTTAATCTTTAGTTACAAAAGAGAAAAACAATTAACCATCTCAGACATGATTTCCAACCCCCTCAAACGAGGAAGATAATAAAACCTGACAGACTATCTAAACTTTTCCCTACTTACACATTTCAATGAGTCTGTTCCTGGGAGAACCCGTTTCTCCTGCTACCGGGGGAAAACTTCTCCTATCTAAAAACAAAGGAAGAGAGGGAAAAAAACCTCTCCCTCGATTTGAAATTCCTGTATGCATTTCATTGGCTGAATGCCCGAAGCTCCCTCCTCAGGTGCATCTCCAGAGTTGCTTAGCCCTTTCCTCATTCTCCAGGTAAGTCAGACTCTCCTTAGCAGCTCCTATTCATAATATATATCTCACACATATCATTCTCTGCGAAATCCACCTCCTCCCATATAATTCTCATTGCCAGATATCCTCCTGCATAAGCTGCCTCCTCCCCAGACTTCTGCCTGACACACCCACCACTTTGTCTTCCAGGCATACAATCTCCCTATCCTTCAGACATTGAGCTTCTTCTCCACTCTCCAATATTATCCCATATCATGACACTTTTGATGTAAACCTTTACATCTGATGTAGCGTACAGTACCAAACTTCCTGTGATCTCCTACAAATTCTATATTCCCCTCATTCATACTCACCCAAATTTATCTTCCTGACCTTCTCGCTTATAACTGTCTCACAGTCCCTACTCCTGATAACACTGCCTACATAGTTTTTCCTTTTGTTTTAGCAAGATCAGACTAACATGGATACCTCTCTATTACTACTTCTCTCCATTTACACAGACATAGTCCTCACACCAACATTCATGGTTTCACCTGCTGCTGTTAATCTGCTACAAAAACACCTCCCTGACTGAGGTCATAATCCTGATGCTGCATGATAGAAACCCTCCTTCACATCCCAAAGATTAAGTCTGATGCTGCATCATAGAAACCCTCCTTCACATCCCAAAGATTAAGATCTTTCAGCGGTCCCCCCATATATCTCTTTTTCCCAACTATGTTTTTAATATTGCCTTGACACACAACCTCCCCCATTCTATCCTCCAGAACTTGTTTATTTCCCTGATATTACCCCAGAAAAGCTATTACCGATACTTTATGTGAAACCTTCTCTCTCTTTAATTCTGATCAATGCGACATAACTTAATGAGGCCAATTGCTCTTTCCAGTCCTCACATTAGTCCCTTAAATTATTGCATAATTCTGGGCCATCTCCACACTGGAAAATCATCCCCCCAAATTCCTACTGGTTCAGGAAAAAAAACCCAGACATATCTACTACATAAGTAACAATTGGTCTGGCCTCTGGAGTACTGATTACACTAGGGCTTTGTACAACTGGTGGGAATGTTGTTTTTGTTTTGAAAAATTTCCAGTATAAACAAGACCTGAAAGTTGATACCCAGCCTAACTCCCCAGTCCTGAAATGGGCTCAATATAGGCAGATGTCCAGTGAAGTCAGCATGCGGGGAAGGGAGGGATTGTGCATACAAGGCAGGGATTTTGCAGAATTTGGCATTTGTCTATAGAATGCAGTATCCTAATAAAACACCTTTTTCCTTGCCCCCAAAATAAAACACAAAAAGGGATTAGGGTGTGGACACAGCTGCTCTTGTAGTTGCATATTTTTTCAAAAAGAAAATGTTATTTCAGGTCTTTGAATCAGAAGTCATGGAGGTGGAGGAGTGTGTCTGCAAATGAAAGAGCATTACAATACAAAATAGGAGAACAAATCCATGGGTTCACGGTAAACCAGGTACAGTATTCTCTTTTTCTCCATCTCTCACTGTGAGCCCTTTATAATTGTACAAAAAACTGTGTAAGATAGATGTTTGCCTGCAGAAGTTGAGACCAGGAGTTAAGGTTGGAGGGTAAATATTTACATATATGCTTTTAGTATTAGATAGAAGTAGATAAAATTCTTGTGGACAAAAATCTTTAGGCTATGCTAACACAAAATTGCCTGTTTTAAAAGAAGACACTTATTCTGCTAGAATTTGTGAGAAGCAAAACACAGTGGCTTATGTGCAAACTTTGGAGAAGAAACTCAAAGACGTTGAGAAATATTATGTTAAACATTAAGAGAGTGCTCAATACTTGTATTGCAGGATGTGTTTTTTGCAAGTTATTATAAAAATATGAACTCTTCCTAGGTTCCGGCAGACATACATATTTATTCTAGTGGAAGTAGCAATATTTATATAGATCTTTGCATCTGATACCTTTTAAAGGAGGTCAGTATCATTGCCTGCATATTACAGATGGGAAAACTTTACCACACAGAGTTGGAAGTAACAGCCAAAATCATTGATCTATGCCAGGGGTGTCCAAACTTTTTTCAAAGAGGGCCAGATTTGATGAAGTGAACATGCGTGAGGGCCGACCATTTTGCCTGACATTCTTTGAACCATTAAAATTAAATGCAAATTAACTATTTTATGCAAAGTTTATTGCAAACGGCATACTTTTCATTTCGTCACATGGATCACAAATCTAAACAGGTGTTAAATCACTCTGCCTTTCATATCTGAAGGCCAGATGAAAAAAAATCCAGGAAGCTGAAATATATGTCAGGAACATTGTAAAGTACATTACATATTATTGGTAATAAAGGTTGTCTGTCAACTTTTAAGTTCAAAAAATATGAACAGGAACATAACACCAAGTATACATGTTGTATCCAAATATATGTATAACTGATTTAGACCAACTAACATTAACTGAGATTTTACAATGTATTCATCTCAATACATATGGATTCGTTGGGGGCCATAAAAGATAGATATTGCCAAATTACCTGTGGGGCCGTATTAAACCAGAACACGGGCCGCAATTGGCCCGCGGTCCGGACTTTGGACATGCCTGATCTATGCTAAAGCAAGTAATAAAACCCAGATCCTTAGTGCAGTGTTGTATCTTCTGAATCCCATCCCACCAAGTGGCCAAGTTCAAAGATTTGTTTCCTAGACAAGTATTGTTGGTTCCTTGTGCAGACACAACTATAATTTCTGCTCTTTGGGTAATTGTTATATACAGGCAGTCCCCGAGTTACGCGGATCCGACTTATGCCGCTTTGCTCCCGGTGCCTCTGGTCTGCTGGGGACCGTCTCCAGCAGACCAGGGAGACGTGGAGCAAAGCCCGAGGCCTGTGGTAGAGCAAGTGGGGCGCTGCCAGTTGGTCCCGCAGCACCGCTCCTTGGCGCTACTGGACCAACCCGGCAGCACCCCAGCTGCTCTGCCCCAGGCTTCCTGGAATCAGCTGCTGATCAGTTTCAGCAGCGGCTGAATCTGGACGCCAGTTCCGACTTACATACAGATTCAACTTAAAAACCCCAGGCATCCCCAAGTCAGCTGCTGCTGAAACTGATCAGCAGCTGATTCCAGGAAGCCTGGGGCAGAGCAGCTGGGGTGCTGCCGGGTTGGTCCAGTAGCGCCAAGGAGCGGTGCTGCGGGACCAACTGGCAGCGCCCCACTTGCTCTACCACAGGCCTCGGGCTTTGCTCCACGTCTCCCTGGTCTGCTGGAGACGGTCCCCAGCAGACCAGAGGCACCGGGAGCAAAGCGGCATAAGTCGGATCCGCGTAACTCGGGGACTGCCTGTAGTTTCTTTTTTTTGAATTTACTCACCTCATATTCAAATATGGTATCAAGACTATGTGCTAAAAATAGGCTGCCTCACTTATGTTTTATATACCAGTTACGTTTTATTTACACCGTAAGGCTTTGATCCTTAAATTGGATGCAATTTAGTGGCTTCTTGAGTCCCACTGATACTAATCAGACTCCATGTGGCAGTAGTGCTGGAACAGTTTTTAGGGTGAGGGTACTGAGGTGCACCACCGCCCCCTCCGCGCCACTCACTGCCTGAGGCTGGTGCCACAGCTAGGGGTGTGTGTGGAGCCCTGGGTGCAGGACTTACAGCAGAGCCCCGGTGTGGGGGCTGGTGGTGGGACCTGGATGCAGGGCGCAAAATCTGGGGAGGGCTGCAGCATCCCTGCACCTGTACTTCCTGCACTTGTGACGTGTTGGTTTGAAGAATAGGAGCAACGCATAGATCTAGCTGCAGGATGGGAACCTAAGGGCTTAATCTGGCTCTCAGAAACATGGAGGTACAGAAGTACCAAATAGTCTTGTAAAGTCATGTATAGGACATAGAAATGTCTGTCAATGACAGTATACGCAACACTGCCCATTAGAGCAAATGGGAGCACAAAATTCTAGACATTTCTACATAAACCAAAAATATTGTAAAATTACTTCTTAATACTTTGCTTCTTAATAATAATGGTGACGTTTTTGTTATATATCAGAAAGATTTGCAACATAAAACATCAAAGAAATGGAAGGTAAAGCATACTTAAATATAAAACATAGTGGGATGACTTTGTTAATCCTTTGAATGTGTCTAACTTTAATATAATGTTGAATTATATGGTAGTGTAATCTTCCCATGAAGTTCTTTGCTTTTGTTTTCCATCATAACTTTTTTTTTTTAGTTCTAGTTATGTGTTTTGATATACAACAGAGTCTAATTGATTCTTTAATAGTGTTCATAAAATATTTTATTTAGAATTTATCTCAATACTAACATAGAGATTTACTTCCAATGTAGGTGACAGCTGTTCCTGAGCTATTCCTAACTGCAGTGAAGCTTAGCCATGAGAACACAGGAGCCAAATATTTACATGTGGCACGTGAGGACTCCAATAATTTATTCAGGTATTTATTTAAATATTAATATTTATGAAACATCTCCTATATCAGCATTGACTTGAGACTTACAAATGTTGATACAGCTTCTTAATACTTGACTGTTACTAATGCTCTCCATTGAAAAAGCTCATAGTTATAAGATTTTTTTTAAAAGCCTGTTTTACCAAACCTTGTAAAATTTAATTTCTCCTCTGCCTTTCAATTAGTAAAATGAGTTTATTTTTTAGTAAGAAAAAAATGTGCCGTCAAATCCCTTTCAGAGTGGATTGATTATTTATGTAAGCTAATTTGGTATAAGATCCTCTGAAATGGATTTAAGATTTTCTGCACAAGGGGGTTACACTGTTTTCAAGTTAGAGTGGTACAGCTTTCATATGTAGTCAAGGCTTAATTCAAACAAATTACTTGGAACGATAGGAACAAATATTGGTATTGCTTCAGCCAATATTATAATATTGGAGTTAGCTAGTATAACTTTTATCAACAACTTTAGCTACTTAATTTGTTTGCTGACCACTTGTGGTCATACTGCATACCGTGCACTGGGAAAACTCCATGTATCATCCAAAAGATATATGTTCTTCTGGCAAGCCCCCAAAAGTCCTCTAATTGTGAGCTTGGTTGTTTCTTCTTGAAATAAATGGCGTTCTTGTCTTCCAACTGTACCAGTATTAGAAGACTAGTTTAGTTACTAAACCATGCTACCTTTCACATAAGGCTAACCTACAAAACAAGTAATAGATGTGCTGTCCTTTAGTCACAAAACATATTTCATTCTTTTTTTAGTGTACAGTTTCGTACAACCCCAATGGACAATACTGGTGTTCCACATATACTTGAACACACTGTGCTTTGTGGTTCTCAGAAGTATCCTTGCAGAGATCCTTTCTTTAAAATGTTAAATAGATCACTATCCACTTTCATGAACGCATTCACAGGTGAGTTCAAGATAATAACGTATATATGTAATGTTAATTATTTTGTACATTATGATTAGGACTTGCTTCCTGAACTCCATGTTTATTGTTTCGTTTTGCTATAAGTATGTAAAACTATTACATTGACTTGAAGAGACATTATAAAAAAAAATAATTTTATAAACTAGCGACCAAATAAGCAAGATGGTGCTGATTCACAAAATGTATTTTGTTAATTTGAGAAATATCTATAGTTTACATATACTATTTGATACTTCACAGTATATGAGTAAATGTTCAGTTGGTTGTTTTGTGAAAGTGATGCTATCTTAGTGGTAAGTGTCCTTACTCAGTATTAGATCTTTGTGGAGGAGTGGGGGGAAACCATCACATCTTATAGAAATTATTGGGTGAGCAAATTAGTGAAGTTCTACTCTCTTCCAATTAAATATTTGACCAATAGAATTTAAAATGAGAATAGGAAATGAAATGCACTGCAAACTCCTTAAAATACCTCGGTCATTAATTTTTAACTTTTTTTTGTATACAGCCAGTGATTACACACTCTACCCATTTTCAACACAAAATCCAAAGGATTTTCAGAATCTCCTGTCTGTGTATTTGGATGCTGCTTTTTTTCCGTGTTTGCGACAGCTAGATTTCTGGTAAGATTTAAACAGGTGGTGTGTATAAATGTTAAAAAGCTAAGACTTGCTTATAATTTTGAAATTTTGACAGGCAAGAAGGTTGGAGGCTAGAACACGAAAATCCAACTGATCCTCAGACACCACTCGTCTTCAAAGGAATTGTTTTTAATGAAATGAAGGGGGCATTTGTAAGTTCTGGCTTTTTTATAAAGGTGCAATATGAATACTTAACATACATGAGATTGTAGAGTAACATTTTAATTGTTTCATTGATTTGAATAGGTCCCCAGTCCCCAGTGTTAACCTCCTACACTCTGTAATACTGAATATCAATTGAATTAAATTTAGTTTGAAGGATAATCTGTTGAGCAGCCTCTTATGTCTATAAATGTAGTAGTTAAGGAGTGGATCTTGCTGTTTTTATGTCTTTTGAGTAAAAGATAGAATTACAGCATGGTACGAGAAGGCTGTTAGTTGTGATTAAACAATGACAGCAATTTATTAATAAGAATTGTGTTAAAATCAATGGAATTAATGAAATACATGCTGATGTAAGAATAACTTTTATGAATAAGGGCAGTAAGATCAGGTCTTAACTGTTCACTATTTTAAATCTTAAAATGTCTTCAGATGGCTTGCTAAAATGTATTTTTTCCTTTAAGACAGACAACGAGAAGGTATTTGCTCAACACCTACAGAATAAACTCCTTCCTGATCACACTTATGGTGTAATATCTGGTGGAGAACCACTAAGTATTCCTGACCTCACATGGGAACAGCTTAAAGAATTCCATGCCACTCATTATCATCCAAGCAATGCCAGGTACTTTAAATTGTTGCTGCTGTCTTCTTAGGCAATATACTGGGTTGACTTTGTTAGTATTTACTAAGATGTGGAGCAAAATTGTATGGCCCTAAGAATGGATAAATGGGTACCGATTTTTTTTTTAATTCTTGTCACTCATTCAAATCCAGCCAGTGTTGCAAGTCACAGAAAGATATTATCTGATGGCTCATCAGTGGCCTGTGTGACATGAGGTAATGGTGTCAGATTCCTACTGGTAGGTGTTCACATTGCTCAGCCATTAACTTCACTGGTATATTTTGCAAGGCCTGCATAGAAGCTAATAATTGACTTGACATGGAGACTTAAAGGTGATTGCTTTAGATTATAATCAAGGGGTATTAGTGGGGAAACTTGTATTGCTTCTGCTTTTTTTCTGAACCAGTTCTGTGGATAAATAGAAATTCAGCTTAGAGGGCTGTCAATCCTGCATCTTTCATGATAAATTTAATTAAGCTATTGCAATACTGACCTGTCAGCCCACATCCTACTGTTCTGTTTCTTTTATCATCCTGCTTTTTCACATATCTGAATTTAGGCCTCGATCATCAGATGCTCTGATGAGGCAGCTCCTAGAGCTTGTGTAGGGTCCCTGTAAATTAATGATGCTTCTTGCAAGGGTCTGTCTCGGTGGAGCCCAATTGCAGGAGCAGGCCAAAACGTGTAACTCATTGAGGCCAGGATTGCATGATCTTATTTGTATTACAAGATTCTAAATAACGTGACTTTTCTTTTAGAAAAACAGTATTTGGGGATTTTGGCTACTGGGATTAGCTTGTTTGGACACACAACTTTCTCCCCCCTCCCCCCCACCCGCCCCAGAGTATTATATGATTGACCTACAAACTAGCAGCTGCCTTTTAGGGCTCTTGACCTCAGTGCATGAAACAGTGACTGGAAAATGGCATGGTATCTTCAGCTCTGAATAACTTTCTGATGAATGTATATTAGTTTTATTTCTGCAGCAGAATTTTTGGTGGCATTTTTGACAGATTTGGGGGCCAGAAAGATGCATTCATTTCTGTTTATAACTAACTCACTAAAAGGTGCATGGAATTCAGATCTTCATTGCTAACGTACTGTGCATGAAGACTAAAAAGTAAATCATAATCTTACATTTAAAATGCAGGTTCTTCACTTATGGTAACTTCCCACTGGAGCAGCATTTAAAACAAATTCATGAAGAAGCCCTGATTAAGTTTCATAGAATTGAGCCAAATACTGCCGTCCCAGTACAACAACTATGGGATAAGCCTGTAAGTAAAAGATAAATATGGAACCAACCTTTATATTGCAGTAATTTAAATATTAAGTCTGGTAAGGAACGCTAGTCAACTTACTGTTTGTATAGAACACTCACACATTTTGTCTAGTTATAGAAATGTAAATTGTCTTTGGATATTATGATGATTTTAAATGAGTGACTTCTAAGATTTGTATGCTGTTTATATTTAGGTTGTCAACGATCCCTCAGTGTTTGAAGACTATGACTTCACTTATTAGAGATTTGTCCATCTAGCGATTGACAAAGTAAAGTTGGAAGTTAGGAGATGTAGGCTTAGTTCCTATATCTGCCAGAAGCTTGCCATGTTCTCTGAACCAAATCCTGCTTTAATTTAAACCTGGGGTTAAATGGGATGGAAGTTAGAGCCAAACAAATCTTGCCCTTTTTTCTCAATTATCTAGTGGAATGGACTACCTAGATCACATGGCTAATAATATGCAAGAATTGTATATTGACGAATGTACAGGTTTTCTCATTAACATTTATAAAGTGCATTAAAATCCTTGGTTAGGAAGGTGCTATAGAAGCACAGCTTATCATTTATTAACTTCTGTTTAGGTTTAGTGTTTTAAATCATTTTTAGTGCCACTAGTTAGTTCTTATTATACTTGACAGAGAGAGCATCATGTGAAATGTGGCTCAGATTCATTTGCTGCAGACCCTGCAAAGCAGACAACTGTCAGCGTCAGCTTCTTATTGACAGAGTAAGTGTATTGAAAATAAAATTACCACAGAAGAATCATGTTTATTTTACTGGTCCTTATGACAGCTACATCAATTACTAATCTAGAACATTTAATATTAACAAAACGCTAATGTATTTTTAGTATGGATGGTAAGCACCCTTACCAGGTGATGCTAACTGGGTACCAGAAGCTGGCCACACTGCGTGTTGGGCCAGGAGCAGAAGCTCCTGCTCCAGCCCTGTGTGGTATGGGGAGTGAGATCCTGCTTGATTCAGTGAATCAGTTAAACCTAAGGCTTACTTCCCTAATTTTCAGCAGTTTTCCATTTTAACAGGTGGAAATAAGGAGCCAATATCGTGTCTTTTGTGGACTTTACGGACCAGTGGTTCACTGGATTCTAATCTGTTGCATTTATACAAATTTACTGAATATAATGGGGTTGCTCAGATGTACCTCAGGCCCTAATTCAACCTGTAAAATCTTTGTGACTGGCCATGAAGTAGCAGGTAGAAAGAACCCAGTTTGGCTCTAGGATCCCAAGCCGTGCATACAGAACTACCAGTGACTTTAAAAATAAACCATTCCTGTGATACTAATAAACCTAAGAGCACCATGCTAGAACACTAATTTTTAGAAACTTTCCTTTTTTTTCTTAGCATTACAGATACTTTTGAAACTTTCACACTTAACCTGTTGTCTTCCCTGTTGGTTGGTGGACCTAATTCTCCCTTCTACAAAGCCTTACTAGAGGCCAATCTTGGTACAGACTTTTCTCCTGATGTTGGGTAAGTGTCACAATTTACTTTGCATCACCATTTAATGACTATAGTTTTATAACATGAATGCTACTCTTGTTATAAAATTGCTTCTTTTTTTTTTTTGAAAAAATAAACTAAAGATTAGAAGAAAATGGGGAGAAAATGAACTTGTACTATAATTCTGCTTGCTCTTTTTAGACAAGAATCTTCTGGTGTATTTTACTCTTTCCATAGTGCAATAATGAAGTATCTTCAAGTGTAAATTATTACCTTGCAAGATACAAAAATAGATAGTTTTATTTATTTAAATTAGCTTCCTGACTTGCTCACTGGTGAAATGGAGATCAGACTAGGGCCCATATTTTACAATCCATATTGCTATTTTGTTATTTCCGATAACTTTCAATGTTTAAATAGTTTTTTCACATGTTTCTTTGTTTCTACACATTGAGGAATGAGCAGGCTGAAACCATGTGCCAGCTTCTCGTGTCTAAGTACATATTTTCAGCATCCAAACCTGCTTTATCTTGACAACTTAACTGCTTTAGGATTATTTTGGAACAGTCAATAAACTAATCTTTGGTAGGCTTTTATTTATGGTGCTTCCTCCCCCCATTGGTTTAGTGACTTAACGTACTGTGAAGACTGTCACAAACATGTCTTTGTTGGTTTAATGAAATATCATTAGATTTTCATAGTACAATATATGTTACTTTGCATTTCCAAAAGTCTTTTGTAGACCTACAGTATTAATATATTGAACTGTATATGAGTGACGATACCCATGTGCATAAGCATTGGTAGGATCATTTCCTTAAGTACTTAATGTTTTATTATATAATTATACTTCATTCCAATTAAAATGTTAATATTTAATATCTACTAGGCTAAGAATCAACCTCTTGGCAAGAAACTGATAACTTACAGTGTTAGTTTGCATTGATAAACACATACAGTGTCAAACAGCATAGTTTGAAGCAGGGGAGGGGAATCTATGGCCCCTGGGTTGGATCTAGCCCCAGCTTACTTGCATTCAGCTTGTGGTGAGGTTTGGGGCTTCTTCCTGCAATGGGATGAGCCAGCACTTGCGCTCCAGCTCCATGACAAATCTTCGAGCTTCAACATCTCCTTGTGGGGCTGAACATGGGCCCTGGCTTGCTCTTTTGCTGAGGGGGAGCCCCAAGCTTGTAGGGGCCCAGGTCAGTGAGATGTTCTTTTTGTTTGATCGCTTGCTTATTGTGAACCAGATCAATTAATTGTTTTGGCCAGAGTGGCTTTTTTTTCTACTTTCTTTTGTGACTATTTTTTCTGAAGGTCAGTGCCCTCCCACCCCCGACCAAAAAAAAGTTTCCCGCCCCAGGCCTGGAGGTATGATCATAAGCTCAAGAATTGGACATTGCTGAGTTCTGAATTATTTTATGGTCTTTGACAAGTAATTCACAGGGTGGGGTGTGGGAGGCAGTAAAGGGAGTAAATGGCTTCTAATTTGGGTGGCTCAGTTTGGGCGTACTGAATTTTAAGTGTAGGGGATTTGATTTTCAGCAGTGCTGAGCCATTACAGAACCTATTCCATTTGCTTTTGTTAGATCTATAGGATTTTCACAACGTCTGAAAATGGAGCCTTAGGTTTCTAGAGCAGAATCTGAAATGTAGTCACTTGTCAAAACTTGGTCGGCAGTTTCTTTATCCCAGTTTTGTTAAGGCACTGCGACATAAACATGGAACCTCCAAAATGACTTCCCTGTGCTTGCTTTTGTGCTATATGAAGATTTAAGTTGCAGTAACAGTCTACTCACTGTCATAATCAGAATGTTCATGTTGGTTTAAAAAAGAGTTTCCATCTAAATAAAATTATGTAAATAGAGAAAAATCTGTATTTGAAAACATTAATGCAGATTAATTCCGAGATCTATTGTCCTTCCTGGTTAGTTTTGTTTCTACTGCTGTACTTCATTCTTTAGACTGAACTATATTTGAAACTTTTTAACACATTGTAACATTCCTACTGAAACTGAAAAATAAATACCTGAAGATTTTTGGCTTCTTGTGTTTTGTTAGTGTTTCCATCTTAGTCTAGATCTTGTACATACCAACTCTTTTTTTATTATTTATTAGATGGCTATTACTTTTCTGTAATCCTTTGTAATAGTTTTAGTGCCTACCATTGGAATAAATGTTTTTTATTTTAGGTTTAATGGCTGCACGAGAGAGGCTTATTTCAGTGTAGGCCTCCAAGGAATTGCTGAACGAGACATTGAAACTGTCAAACAAATTATTGCTAAAACAATAGATGAAGTCATTGAGTGAGTAATGTTAAATTTTTGAAGTATTCTTTTAGCAGAAACTATTTCTAGACATTTATTTTAAAAATATCTTAGTTTAAATGTATGGAAACTACAGTAAAGAAGTAATTTCTAGTGGTTCAGTACTGTTTAGATCTATACTTATTCCCTTTCTCCCTTAATAGCTCCTTAAATACTTCGGTATAGTATGCCCTTCACTACAATAGTGGTGTTTCATTAAATGGCACAGTATGATCTTACTTCAGATGAGTTTTATTCTATGTTATACATATTAAGTACCAGTGCTTCATCGATACTGTAATTCATGTTCATGTCTTTATTTATTATGATTAGTATTGTGTTAATGGGTAAATTTGCATATGTACACACACACATACAATGTATATATTTTAGGAAAGGATTTGAGGAAGAGAGGATTGAAGCTCTACTTCATAAAATTGAAATCCAGCTGAAGCATCAGTCTACAAGTTTTGGTCTTGCTCTGACGTCAGTAAGTGCTCTTTTTTTTTTTCTCAAGAAGTAAAATGTCTGTTTTCAACAGTGTCTTAAAATTCTGGATCCAATTTTGCAAGGCCGTTCTCATGCAGAACTCCCACTGAAGTATCTTTCTTTTGTCTCTCTTCTTCCCTCCCGCAAAGTCCACAAAGATCTGTTGTTGTTAGCATTTGTATTGTCTCCTTTGAGTCCAGCCTCCTAATCTTTACATGATTAACTGCACTGAGATTGCTTGCATGAGTAACTATTTCTCCTGGGCTTGTAAACTTGGGGCATGGCTTCTTTCCTCTTGCACACCATAGCACTATGTAAATAATGACTGATTTCTTGGTCCCGTTAATTTACCTATTGTTTTTAAAATTCATAGTATAAATGTGAAAATTTGCATTGGCTTGACTGTTTTCTAGGGTAAATACCCATTAAAACCGTTAACTGGTTAAACAATTAAAATTATATTGTTTAACTGGTTAACCATTGGAGGACTGGTACAGAGTAGCCAGGTCTGGGATGTCACAGAGGCTGCGGTCCTGCTAGCCACAGACAGAGGGCTGCTCCAGCCCGGTCCTCTATAAGTGAGACTGTTTCAGGTGGGGGTTGCTGTGGTCCATGTGATGAATTCCATAGAAAATGTGGGTGATTCTGAGCCAATGTTCCTTCTAATATTTTCCATCCATGTGGAGAATAATTTTTATTTGCACTGAGGCATGTGTGAATGTGCACCACTAGTAGAAACAAAAAACCTAGCTAATCACCTGGGTGGTATTTGAAAATCTCCTTGGTGGCCGTACAAGCGCACTGTTTACAGGGAACTGCACTGAGGAACCCTGAGAACGCAAGGGATCTCAGTGGCATCTATTGCTGCCTGAAGGGATATAGGTATTTGCGCTGCAAGGTGATCATTGGAAACCATAGCTAGAAACTAGTCCTTATATTCATTTGGCAACTTTTTAAAAAGAGATGGGGGCCTGTGTGAGCTGTAGGGTCTACAGGAGAAGTGGAATATTTCACGTTCTGCTTTTCCCAAAAGCTATACCCTGTGTTCTACGTGTCCACTGTCTGTCATGCTGCTGTCCTCCTTGTCCTTACCATTGTAACCTTCACCCACTTTACTCTCTATCCTGTTCTCCACTATGTAACCCAAGCTTCAAGCTTTCTATAGCCTGCAAGCCCCATCTGTGGACCTCTCTAAGATCCAAAGGAAGTGAGCTGCTTAGGAGGTCTTCTAGGGTGGAGTAATGTGGTTACCAGAAGACTTGGGGAGGGGACATCAACAAGCAAAAAGCATCGAATGGAATAATCCAATCAAATGTATTTCAAAGCGTTTCACTGTTCAAGTTAGGATCTGGCAAAAACTGCTTTATAAGTTTCTCACTGTGGTGATTACCATTTTTTAAAATGTGTTCAGCTTGTCTGATCAAGTTCTGCAAGAAAAAAATCTTTTGCTAAGGCTTGTAAGAAATTAATTCAAAGTGAGGGTTATCGCGGCAAGAAAATACTCTAGAAGTGTACTTTATTTAAAAGAAATAGAAACTGTTTAATTCTCCAACAGTGACATCCCTCCATTAATAAAAAAGGGAAATAGCTTCAAGTTTTCTAGAGATGATAGTTTAAATATACTAGACTTTAACTAGGGAAGTTCAGTGTCTGAGTTCCCTTTTCTTTTGTTAATTTCTTGTTACAACAGTGACAAAAAGCAAAAGTTAGATATGTTGAACATAGAACACCTTAAATTTAGAGTGCAATCTTACAGAAATTTGTCTGATTTTTTTAACAGTGTTTGTAGAGATGCACCGAACCAGTCGAACAAATTATTGTTAGATTGATCAAACTTAATGAGTGAGAAATGTTAAATTCTTCCAGATCTTGAAACAGACAGTTACTGCTCCAAAGGTTGTGGAAACATTTACCTCTGCCCTAGACCTGACCAATCCATTTGTCAAATGATATTTCCTTTGTGTGAAGATTTTGGTGGAGAACATTGGTTTTACAAAATGTAAGCCCAGTTGCAGCCTTAACTGTGTTCCTTTCAACAACCAATAATATCACTTTTACCTTATGCACTTATCAAATGGCGGTATTACCAAAGTGTTGCATATTGCTTGTCTGCTATAAATATGCAAACAAGACTGGCAAAATGTGTGTTCTGGAATATGCATATCAATCCATGAAATGGCTATATATGCAGTTAAATGTTATGTTTGTCTAATATCTTGCCAATCAAGTACATAGCTTCCTGCTGGAATCATGAAGGAGACCCTGTGGAACTTCTGAAGATTGCAGACAAAGTGGCTCAGTTCAGGCATCACCTCAAGGAAAACCCAATGTTTCTTCAAGAAAAAGTTAAGCAGTATTTTAAGGTAAGGAAACCAAAGGAAAAGCTCTTTTAGTAATAATTTCTAAATCACACTGTTGGAGCCTGTGACAATAATACTAGCTTCAGTCCTCTTGATTTTTTCATAACTATATAAATTATTATTAAGGGTAGCTTAAATGTCAGCATTTACAGATGGAGTCCACTTATCCAATATACCTTAAATCTTTCAGAAAATTAAGCTACCACCCATTTTTGCCAAATGTCCACTTAAAGTGTGTACTTTGGGAAAAATGCAAGACAGACATTCC